GAGGGAAACTGAAAACAAATTAGTTCCCTATAGTAAAACTGATTAATAATGAACCCAAGGGACCTAACTAAACAGTTCTCTACTACAAAATATTTATAATGACCCAGACGAGGGAAACTGAAACCAAATTAGTTCCCTATAGTAAAACTGATTAATAATGAACCCAAGGGACCTAACTAAACAGTTCTCTACTACAAAATATTTATAATGACCCAGACGAGGGAAACTGAAACCAAATTAGTTCCCTATAGTAAAACTGATTAATAATGAACCCAAGGGACCTAACTAAACAGTTCTCTACTACAAAATATTTATAATGACCCAGACGAGGGAAACTGAAAACAAATTAGTTCCCTATAGTAAAACTGATTAATAATGAACCCAAGGGACCTAACTAAACAGTTCTCTACTACAAAATATTTATAATGACCCAGATGAGGGAAACTGAAAACAAATTAGTTCCCTATAGTAAAACTGATTAATAATGAACCCAAGGGACCTAACTAAACAGTTCTCTACTACAAAATATTAATAATGACCCAGACGAGGGAAACTGAAAACAAATTAGTTCCCTATAGTAAAACTGATTAATAATGAACCCAAGGGACCTAACTAAACAGTTCTCTACTACAAAATATTTATAATGACCCAGACGAGGGAAACTGAAAACAAATTAGTTCCCTATAGTAAAACTGATTAATAATGAATCCCAAGGGACCTAACTAAATAGTTCTCTATAGTAAAACTGATTAATAATGAATCCCAAGGGACCTAACTAAATAGTTCTCTACTACAAAATATTTATAATGTCCCAGACGAGGGAAACTGAAAACAAATTAGTTCCCTATAGTAAAACTGATTAATAATGAACCCAAGGGACCTAACTAAACAGTTCTCTACTACAAAATATTTATAATGACCCAGATGAGGGAAACTGAAAACAAATTAGTTCCCTATAGTAAAACTGATTAATAATGAACCCAAGGGACCTAACTAAACAGTTCTCTACTACAAAATATTTATAATGACCCAGACGAGGGAAACTGCAAACAAATTAGTTCCCTATAGTAAAACTGATTGATGATGAACCCAAGGGACCTACTTAAATAGTTCTCTATTATAAAACATGTTTATAACGAACCTTAACGGACCTAAATAATGTGTTCACTGCGGTAAAATATATCTATAACTACAGATATATTTTTGCAAAAGCTAATATGTATATTTGATGTTGAAGGTCACAGTACCCGTATAGTTTGAAATTTACAAATGAAGAGTTTGCACTTAAATTGACTCTTGACCTTGTGGTCAAGGTCACAGTGACCTGTTGGTGATGCAGATATATTGCAAGATAAGTCAAGATATCTTTAACACTTTGAAAGTTACTGTCTGTATTAGATGTTACTAAAAAAGTTGCACTTATTTGACCTATGACCTTGAGGTCAAAGTCAAAGTGACCTATTGACAGTTCAATGCACATCATCCGTAGGTAATGCAGGTATACTGCTAGTTTGTTCATGATAATTTTAAGGGTTAAAAATGTGTTGCCCAGACAATATGTTACTGTAAAGTAAGCATTTATTTGACTTTTGACTTTAAGGTCAAGGTTAGTGACATATTATCAGTGCACTGCACTTTAATGTTTAGATGTTGCAGGTATAATTTAGGTTACATCAAGATATCTTAAACAATTATTACTCATTCAGCGATTCACCCTAAAATTTTGTAATGAACTATTCCCTCTTTGAATTGGAAGTATTCAAATGTGTCTTCAGGGGTGAATGAGTTACTGTCTGGACAATAAATGATTAGAAGAACCAGAAGAACAACTGATACTAACACAATATATCTCCCTTCATTCAAATCGGACATAACAAACATCACCGGACCTTCACTGTATCAGTAATTAGGTATGCTATAATACACAGGATTTGTTCAGTTTGATGTTTATCAGACAATTCCTTGCTAAAGAAAAACATAAACTTCGTTATCAGCAAGAATTTGTATGTTCCCTCATACACCGTGTTTCATTGTGGTTTGAATATGAATTTCTTGTTCAACTGAAATATGTCTGATAGACAACATCATTCATGTGACATAATACCATTTCATTGGCTATAAAAGCTGGTCACTGAATTCTAAAAAGTCCAGATTCCTAGAAATGAGGAAATTGCAGAGTACTTATCAATTATATATATATCTATGGCCCCTAAAGTATTGCCACACAGGATATTACTTTTCTTGTTCCTCCTTTTCCTGGTGACGTAAGATATGTATACTTAAACAATACTATAGGATCGTCACATCTTGTGTTTTATAAAAACTTGTTAATATATGAACTTTTTCTTGTTCTTCAATTCCCTGGTGATGTAAGATATGTTTAATTAGATAATGTATAGGATCATCTTCCAAGAAATACCTTCCATGTGTTTTATAAAACCTTGTTGTTATATATATAGACTCTCTATCAATGTCTGATTTACACAGAAATCTGTTTTACAATGAGTCACCTTAAGGCAATACGGAAATAAATAAAGCTTCTATCAAAATCATACTAACCCAATCATTTTTTAACTTACTGACATTAAAAAATCTTTATAAATTAGAAAGAAAAATGTAATCATTTATAATTTTTAAGCTCGTACAAACTTCCTTGTTTGTTCAATAAAAAAAACATCTGAAATATGAGAATTGGTGATAGTGAGTAAACAGGAAGAATACGCTGGGTCTACTTGACCTTGTCAACGACACTTGACCTTGATCTGTGTCACTAAAAAAGGAAAGGCCCCGGAGTCTTAATAGTGATGGTTATATATATATATCTTACATCGGTATTAACAGCTATATGTATATTTGCTTCTGATAGGAAAACAAGTGATTACATGTGTCACGGAGAAACATTGTCTTAGAACAAATATTGTTCACTCTGACTATAAAGATGGAGTTTTATAATTAATGGTTCTTATAAAAGTAATTTCAAACAATTTTAAAATGGCTCTTATGGATCTGGTTTTGTAACTAATGGTTCTAAATGATATAGTTTGTAATTAATGGTTTTTATAGATGTAGTTTTATACATTCAATGGTTCAAATAGAGATGTAGTTTTTTAAGTTGATGTCCTATTCCGTCTTTGTGTATTGCAGAGTTATCTTCTCTTGTGAGCAGGTATCGATTGTTACGTCATTTGTTTGTGAGAGTAACGTCATCAGTTTTTGAGAAAACAACGTAATTTTCTCACACAAACCAATGGCAATGACGTAATAATCAATACCTGCTCACAAGAGAAGATAACTCTGCAATACGCAAAGACGGAATAGGTGTAGACATAATTAATGGTTTTGTATTAGTAGATAAAGTTTTTTAAGTTAATGGTCCTATAGGTGTAGACATAATTAATGGTTTTGTATTAGTAGATAAAGTTTTTTAAGTTAATGGTCCTATAGGTGTAGACATAATTAATGGTTTTGTATTAGTAGATAAAGTTTTTTAAGTTAATGGTCCTATAGGTGTAGACATAATTAATGGTTTTGTATTAGTAGATAAAGTTTTTTAAGTTAATGGTCCTATAGGTGTAGACATAATTAATGGTTTTGTATTAGTAGATATAGTTTTTTAAGTTAATGGTCCTATAGGTGTAGACATAATTAATGGTTCAAGTAGATTTATTTTTTTAATATAAGTTAATGGTCCTACAGGTGTAGATATAGTTAATGTTTTTAGTAGATGTAATTTTAGACAGTAAATGATGGTTCTAATTAAAGTTTTAGATGGTTGATGATTCTGATAGCTATTAGTAGAGGCTATGATATGTAACTATGTAAGCCATGGATATTCTACCCGAGGGTTTGGATCCAAACCGAGGCTTTGCGGAGGATGTGACACCAAATTCAACACCCAATGGTGGTATATCCACATCTCCCAATACTTACACAATCATTCACATTTTTTACTCCAACGTTTTACCCAAAATTTTATAAAACATGACATACCAGTAGACAATGCAGAGGCATCACTAAATATAGCACAAGCTCTAGACAAGGTATACACAAACAAAGGTCAGATTAGGAAATAGCATAAAAAGTACGGTATACCTTAGGTATACCACATATTTAAAGATCCATGCCAGGCCTTTACGGCAAGTTTACACAACAGTTCTTATGTTCTTGAGGTGGTGTCAATTGTTGATGAAAAGATTGTCATTGTCAGTCAACGTTTTGACGGGCTATGTCATAATGTACCAGTCATCAGATTATGACGTCATATTAGTAAAGGTCACCAAGAGCTCCCATTACCTTACAAATGTAGAAGTCCGACACAGTTTATAGTTCTAATACAAAATGTTTTATAATTAATGGCTCTAATAGATGTAATTTATAAAATTAATGCTGATTACAACTGTAGCTTAATAAGGTTAACATTGACTAATTAATATGCATTTGTCATGTGATCAAGATGTACACATACATTGGTAAATGTCCTGTTGAAGAGTTTCGGGTTAAACCCGCTCAGTGACATCAGAATTCATCACCAAGGTAACATGGGGGTTTAACAGGATAAACCCGCTCAGTGATATCAGAACTCATGACCAAGGTAACATGGGGGTTTAACAGGATAAACCCGCTCAGTGATATCAGAATTCATCACCAAGGTAACATGGGGGTTTAACCTTGATATAACTCTAATGTGAAAATGAATCTAATTTATTAATTAAACCTTATCAATAATCTCAAGCCAAGTGACAGCAGGAGAATTAATGGTTTCATCCATTAATTGAATTTTCTGTATTTTCTGTATTGACTGTAATAATTTATGTATGAAGGGTTTTTAGTCGATCTAGGGTTAAAAGGTATACTAAGAAAATAGTGACCATTTTTGTTTTATCTATGGGAGGTAAAAACAGAAAGTGAGATACAAAGAAACCTTTTAAATTTTGTAATTCAGTCTACAATCATTCAATTTTCAACACAGAGGCAAAAACAATCAACAACAAAAAACTTACATGGAAATCTGGAGAATTTGGATTTGAGAGTGGAGAGATCTGGTATGGACCTCGATCGGTGTCTTTCCCGGAGTTCTACCTCGACAGTCTTAGTGTGCTTTTCAAAGAATTCTTCATCAAACGCTTGAATTTCCTCCTCTGTGGAGGGGAGTGGGAAATCTCTGCAGTCGCCTGTAAGATCACAAATATAAATAACAGGGAAGTTGGCAAGTAATACAGGTAATTTAATACTCCCATTGATTGAGAAATAGTCAAGGTAAACTGACAAATTCAGGTTAATACCCCAATTGATTAAAAAATATTCAAGGTTAACTTACAAATTCAAATATTTGAGTTACATCATCAATGTTGCTACATCAAGCAAAATATCACCATGTAGGTATATAAATTCTATAGTTAAAATTCAAAACAATGTATGTTGATGATATAAGTTATAGGTATATAATAATGAGAAGAGCCTGTCTATATACATAGTTACACTGTTAAATATAACAGGAAGTAGGAAGATTACACATCAGTACTGAAAAGACAACATTTGATCCCTCGTACATATGTCTTTCCTCATTTGTTATTTTCATATCAATATCAAATCTGTCATCAACCTTTATGTACTACTGAACTCCAGTAAAACTTGTCATTTTGTGGATGTTGTCAACATTAAAAATTACTTTGTTATTTTAAGCCATATCTTTGAACGGTTTTTCCTAATCCTATAGTTATGGTGACCTTGACCTTGGCACCCTGTAACACAATTTTTTTCAAAGCATTTTCATACTTGATTTTTGCATGAAGACTGCATGATGAAATATCATTCAGAAAAAACCCATTCGAGAGATGAAAAAGATTTTTCAATAAATAGAAATGATGACCTTGACAATAACACCCTGAAACAAACTCTATCAAATACTCTCTTACTTGAGAACTTTATAAATATAAAGTTTTATTGAAATCAATCCATAAATGAGGTCACTAAAATTTACTGACAACAAAGGTGTGTCTACAAGAAATGGTTGTTTTCACCCATAACCTTAATCTTTGACCTTTGACCTTGCATTTCAATACGGTTCCACCTCTTGTCATAACAAACCACTGTATGAAGATTGAAAGTGGATAACAGCACATGCTCCACAGTGTCAAAGATTGGGAGTGGATAACAGCACATGCTCCACAGTGTCAAAGATTGAGAGTGGATAACAGCACATGCTCCACAGTGTCAAAGCTTGAGAGTGGATAACAGCACATGCTCCACAATATCAAAGATTGAGAGTGGATAACAGCACATACTCCACAGTGTCAAAGATTGAGAGTGGATCCCAGCACATGCTCCACAGTGTCAAAGATTGGGAGTGGATAACAGCACGTGCTCCACAGTGTCAAAGATTGAGAGTGGATCCCAGCACATGCTCCACAGTGTCAAAGATTGAGAGGGGATAACAGCACATGCTCCACAGTGTCAACGATTGAGAGTGGATAACAGCACATGCTCCGCAGTGTCAGAGATTGAGAGTGGATAACAGCACATGCTCCACAGTGTCAAAGCTTGAGAGTGGATAACAGCACATGCTCCACAGTATCAAAGATTGAGTGTGGATAACAGCACATGCTCCACAGTGTCACAGATTGAGAGTGGATAACAGCACATGCTCCGCAGTGTCAAAGATTGAGAGTGGATAACAGCACATACTCCACAGTGTCAAAGATTGAGAGTGGATCCCAGCACATGCTCCACAGTGTCAAAGATTGGGAGTGGATAACAGCACATGCTCCACAGTGTCAAAGATTGAGAGTGAATAACAGCACATGCTCCACAGTGTCAAAGCTTGAGAGTGGATAACAGCACATGCTCCACAATGTCAAAGATTGAGAGTGGATAACAGCACATGCTCCACAGTATCAACAGAGTTAAAACCTGTATGGATGGTCGAGTGTTACACACAAATGTTCATCATGAATGGAATGACATTTAAAGTCTATCATCAATGTTTTTCTGACCTCCAAAATACAGGTCTAACATGAAATATATTCAGTCAGAAAGTGGGATGATAGACGATAATGTTAGATCTGTTAGATCTGTCACATGTAAACTTTCCTATGATAACAGCATGATTTAGAGGATGATACTTTTATCTCATCCATAAGGATACAGGATGGTTACACAACCGTCGAGTGTGGTGGTTAGAGTTCAAATCAACTGTAAAGCTTGCTATGTACGTACTCTATAAACATTGTTAATTAACATAGAAAATATATCTAGAATAAGTAATGTCACAGAATAGTTGATATCAAAGATCCTTTTCTTGACACCAATATATACTTACAGTTCTAGCCTAGAGCTGTACGACACGATTAGTATGCTGATTAACACTAACAGGAAAAGGAAGTAAAATTATTCACACTTTCCGATAGATATATACACAACATGTATGTATATTATGATGGACAAACATTGCAGTGACCAACATAGAGGTCAGCTAAATAACAATTCTGATAACGAATTATTTGGAAAGGTGAAAGTAAGGTTTAACATGTGAGTAGAAATAATTAAACAAAAAAATAATTAAACACGCACCATATTGCTCCTCTATCACTTTTTGTTTTTTTAACAAGACAAGAATTTGTATTTTCCACCAATTAAGACCAAGTTGGCTTTCCCATGTATCTCATTGGACCAAAGAATTAAAACACACTTGGTAAGAGCAGTGACAGGAACACCGGTATCTACTTTGGTCAAAATTCATCCTATGTACTCTAAGAACTAGTCAGAAATGTCTCAGCCAATCAAACTACCAGGTAGCCATTTCAAATTTTGAATCTACAAAAACATTAACAGACAAAAATAACAGCAATGCTTCAATGTCAGAAGAACAATTCAGAAAACAGCACTTCGATTGGACTGCAGACTATGAACTTTTTGGAGATGATTGTTCACAGTAACTTTTGTTATAGACCCCACATCATGATTTGGGCCCTACATTCTGGAATCTTTAGTCTCCAATATTTACGAAAGTTTGCCCATTGGATGTGTGTGTGTTACAATGGTGAAATCCCTTTGCATAGAGATCAAAGCTCCATGTTAAATTAGGCCAAAGCTCTTCACTTGTGTTTTCGGTTGAGGTTTTTGGGCCCCTTAATTTCCTCTAAAAGGTATTATTTTCCCTTGGGGGTATATACGTACATTTTATAATGATTTTAATTTTTAGCTTGTGGAATCTCCTCCATGGGAAATGTGGCAAGTATGACATGATCATAAGCAGCTATAAGTTACTATAGTCAACTACAATTGTATAATTAACTAGTATCATTAGTAAATATTGTATTCCATTAAGCCAACAATGACAAATTGGGCTCACTGATATAGTACATCATTTCATTTCAGAATGTTCATTGTTCAGATGTTAGATACAAAGGAATTGGGCAACAGGCAAAGCCTTATAAGTGCCCTCTCCTTAAATGATATACATCATGAACATCTCTCTATAAATATCGGGCTTATCAGGAAAGTGTCACTCCATCAAGGAAGTGATTCAATGCTCAAATCAATATCCAGTACAGATGTATACACCATGTAATTACCGCATACCATCCTATCTGTTTATCTCTGTACATCAATATCATAGCACTGTGTTGTGGTTAATATGTGCAGCACGTCTGTGTATTTGATAAATCTAAAAACAAAGAACCCCTATTAACTTAAGGTGAAAAGTACCATCAAATTAATATATGAAAATATAACCATCATTTCAACAGACGTATATTTTTGTTTAATTTGAATATTTGGACAAAGACAGAATCCGAGAATTTCCAGCATTCCCTATGTGGATTAGAGATCCTCTGCTAGTCCTACAATTTTACCAATGTTTCTTTCAAGAAAATGTAAATACACGGTTTAAAAAATAAAAGATGAATACCTTGCTAAGGGAAGTAACTCTTACACAGAAAAAGTCCTCTATGTTGCTTTACCTTTATATTAACCCTTTCACCACTGTAGACCATAGTGGACTCATCCGGATGAATGTATGGTAGAGTCTACTCAAGTTACATAGGGGTAAAAGGGTTAAACTGAAAATACTCAAAATCAAAGACAACAGCTTGGAAGTGGCACTCTTCTTTGTGATTATAACTTCTGCAGTTGTACTTTTTACCCTAGGTAAAACAGATCATCTGTAAACATCGATCACTATTAAAAAGTCCTGTGTCTCTGCTGAAAACTGTTAATAATTCTTTTTCCAGGTGACTGAAATCTAGATAAATTATTTCTCAAAAGATAACTATACCTTCCGAGACTTTTATGATAAATAATAGATACAAAATAAACAAAATATAATCAGCAAGAGTGTTCTGGGTGAACTAAGAGCATGGCTAGATGTAATTTAAAGCCTGGACTTCAGATTGTTATACTATCTCAGTAACTGAGTGAGTGATGGTGTGTGAGAGGACAGGTGTGATGTAGAGTGATGGTGTGTGTGAGGACAGGTGTGATATATAGTGATTGTGTGTGTGAGGACAGGTGTGATGTAGAGTGATGGTGTGTGAGAGGACAGGTATGATGTAGAGTGATGGTGTGTGTGAGGACAGGTGTGATGTAGAGTGATGGTGTGTGTGAGGACAGGTGTGATGTAGAGTGATGGTGTGTGAGAGGACAGGTGTGATGTAGAGTGATGGTGTGTATATGTTTTAGTAAATGAAGTGTGTGAAGTAAATGATGTTTATATGGAATGTTTATTATTAATGCATTATATTATTAAATGAGCCAAATTATTTTCCTCAGTAAAATATTTGTTTGAATATACTGCTGTCAACTCATGTTTATAACAGGAAAGGAAAGATTTCCTTACATTTCTCCCACCTTTTTCTAAGTCTTTGTCCCTGAAGCAAACACTAATTTCAACCCAGGTTTTGGTATCCCCTTGCCAAGCGAACACCAAATACTTGAAACAAGGGTTGGCCACAGGCACCACTGTAACAGGAGATGAGAAAAGTACAGCCAGACTGGCATTCGAACCTGGGACCCTCCGAGCTCAAGAAGGAAACTCTAACCAACTGAGCTATATGTACGATGGTGATCAACCCAGTCTGGTTCTGCTTCTTATATATGTTGATTATGATATACACAAGGAAAATTAAGACTTGAAATATAGAAATGTAAAATAAACAACTTGCCACTCGGTTTT